ACACATGTCTGCAGCACGATTAGACCCTCGTTTATTTAGTTTATCAGCAAAAAAAATGTTTATTTGGGGGTGACTTGCTCTTTAACTAACCGTTCAGCGGAGCAAGAAGCACATTAACACTGGTGTGTGTGTGTGTGTGTGTGTGTGTGTGTGTGTGTGTGCGCGTGTGTGCGTGTGTGTGTGTGTGTGTGCGTGTGTGTGTGTGTGTGTGTGTGTGTGTGTGTGTGTGCGCGCGTGTGTGCGTGTGTGTGTGTGCGCGTGTGTGTGTGTGTGTGTGTGTGTGTGTGTGTGTGTGTGTGTGTGTGTGTGTGTGTGTGTGTGTGTGTGTGTGTGTGTGTGTGTGTGTGTGTGTGTGTGTGTGTGTGTGTGCGTGTGTGTGTTAAGCCCCCTTCAGACAGGCCATGAAAAACGGAAAGGTTCCGGACTCTGTCCGTAAGACCTTTCTGTCTGAATACAAACATCCGGATAACGTGTTCCGGAATTTATCCGGACGAAGCCCCTAGTGACAGGTCCGGACTTGTTACGGACAGGGTGGCTGCTTCAGACTGGTGAGGTAGAGTTCCGGACAAGGGGGAGGGGGAGGAGGAGGGGACCGGGGGACGCTGTGCGCACCCAGATAGCCCGCTGCTGTAGCATGCGGCGAACCACGGCAGCTCGCCTCCTACGGTACCGACTAGACGCGCGACGGAGCGCTTCACACCGCTTCAGTGATTCCTTTAACCATTGAGCTTCATCATCCAGGTCTCTTATGCATCTTCGTGTGCGCAGAATTATGCTTAAGCGCCTCGTAATTTTTATCTTGAGAGGCGCTACAGAAATGATATTTTCTTCTTCTTAACATAAGTCTGATTCTCCCCCCCACCCCACCCCCCGCCGCCGTCAGACATCTGGAACTTTTCCCTGCTGTGTGAACGCAGCCGAAAGGACAAGTTCCGGTACAAAAGTGGTGTGTCTGAAAACACAGTTCCGGTTAAAAACCGGATTGAATTGTCCGCAAATGTTCCAGAATGTCTGTCTGAAAACGGCTCAGAGAATCAGTTCACTAAAATGATCAGCATCCGCGAGCCTCTCTGGTTCTGATCCACGAAACGTGAAGCAGTTCAAAGCCTGCTGCTGACTCTTCGTCACCAACGCCCATCATCAGCTTCAGTTCCTTTAACAGAATATTTAACTAGAGCACCGTGGGTGAACCCACCATGCATTCAGATTTTACAGTAATGTTATGGGCACATCTTTGATGTGCCCCCCCCCCCCCCCCCCCCCCCCCCCCCCCCCGCTGGAAAACATCCCCAGAACCAAAAAGGTTTCCTGGCCAAACCTCAAATGGCCAGTATTTCAATTAGGCTTCCTACGAATGAATGTAATTCCATCTTGGAGCCTTCCTCTTTGTTGGGCTTGGAAACTGGAATTTCTGTGTGACTGGAGCTTTGAACATAATGATACAGCTGAAAACACTATGTGTCTGGCTGCAGAGCTGCTGCAATTAAAAACGACACGTTAAAATACTCTTCATGGTTAGAAAATGCAAATTATATGCAGATTAGTAACATGATTCATGTATTAATTTGCCGTGGTGAGTGGTGATTAGGTGAGTGGGAGTCAGCGGCAGGCACTGAAGCTCGCTAATGGCTAAAAGCCAGTATGGTGGGAGGGGGAGCTGAAGCCAGACTTTTCCTTGATTTACTGAGAGGTGACCTTTGCACAGTTCCTGCTCGTGGCACAGAGGAAGCTCACATATTTAGAGGATCTGAACTTTAGCTTGTGCCGAGCATCTGACATATGTAAGATAACTGTTTATGTCTCTGCAGGTTGCTGCTGACGGTGACAGAGACAGCTGTCTTTATGTCTTATTTAAACGAGCGTTAGCTACATTTTGTCTCAATGCCCAAGAGCAAGCCCAAGCTGAAAGATTAATTCCCATCTAGTGGAGTGGAGCTTTAAATCTGCAAGTTGGGTTTTGCATAGTTTTGCTATCAGCATCACTGTGCGTCTAAGGTTTTTGTGACTCCAAACTTTAAAATCACTGGAATACATGAGACAGGGTACTGCAGGTTTAAGGGAGCCAAATTTAAGACTTTTTAAGGACCCGCGGATACCCTGATGAGATCCCTTTCTCCACCCTTTACGGTATTCCCGACGAGGTTTGGCTGTAAGGACTACTGTCCTACTGCCACAACCAATCAAAAACTGGTAGTCCGACATCCATTCATCCATTTTTGTCTGCTTATTCAGAGGCGGGCCACAGGGGGCAGCAGCCTAAGCAAAGAGATCCAGACTTCCCTCTGCCCAGACATGTGGGCCATCTCTTCAGGAGGAATCCCATGGTGTTTCCTGGCCAGCAAAGAAAAATAGTCCCTCAAGCGTGCCCTGGGTCTTCCTTTAGGTCTCCTCCTGGTTGGACGTGCCCGGAAATCTTCACCAGGAATGATTCTAGGAGGCATCCTAATCAGATGCCGGAGCCACCTCAACTGGCTCCTTTCAATGTGGCGAAGCAGTGGAACTACTCCAAGCCCCTCCTGGATGACCGAGTTTCTCACTCTATCTCCAAGGGAGAGCCCAGACACTCTCTTTTGGTCACTACCCAAAGTTTGTGACCATGGGTGAGGGTTGGAATGTAGATCGACCGGAAAATCTAGAGCTTCCCCTTTGGAATCAGCTCTCTTCACCACGACATACCCGTACAATGCTGGCGTCACTGCAGATGCAGCATCTATCTGCTTTTCTTTCCCTCACTTGTGAACAAGACCCTGAGATACTTAAACTCCTTCACTTGAAGCAGGACCTCATCCCTGACCGGGAGAAGACATTCTACGCTTTTCCGACTTAAGACCATGGTCTTGGATTTTGAGGAGCTGTTTCTCATCCCAGCTGCTTGACACTCAGTTGCAAACCACTCCGGCAAAAGCTGGAGATCATGTTTCTTTCTTTCGTTATTGAACATGCATGCAAATCAATAGACGGCAGCTTCAATAGTAGGCTCGTGCACGAGGCGCGCATGCTGTACGTGCACACTCCTTAACGACAATAACAGCTGAAACAGTCCTGTGTGTGTGTGTGTGTGTGTGTGTGTGTGTGTGTGTGTGTGTGTGTGTGTGTGTGTGTGTGTGTGTGTGTGTGTGTGTGTGTGTGTGGCCCGGAGGACAGAGGACAGGAGAACATGCAGCTAATTAATTAACTAATTTGGTTCTGTACCTTTCTCTTCAGCACAGCCGACAAAGGTTTATGATGGGTCAGTCCTCCTGCATGCTCAGATCATTCCCTTCCCTTGCTTGAAAAATTGTTCCAAAATGAAAGTTGAACCCACATCTTTTTTATCTGTGAATTCAATGCCGTTCGGCGAGTCTCAAATAAAAATTTGGGCATCTTACTGTAAAAAAAATGCCATTAATGTAAAAAAGAAACTCTAAATAAACTATGTTCACATCCAGAGTCAAACCCAGATCTTCTGCATGAGAGTCAGACATCTTACAAGATGAACTACACTCTAGTAACATTTGACGTATCTGTAACTTTTATATCCTTGATGACAGCTGAAACAACGTCAAACCAAAGAACGGTTCAGAGTGAAAATGGCTATTTTGTTGCTAATTTGCAGGAAATATCTAGAAGAAAGTTCTACAGAAAGTAGCTAAGGGTCCTCAGAAATGTAGCTAGCTTTGTCACTAGGCGTTAGGAACAGCGACAAAGTGGCACTGCCTCTCTCTCTGCTGCTAAAGCTACGGATAGCAAATGCTACGGGCGATGCCTGAGCGTGAACGCGCATGAAGCAGCCTGCTCGACCCGAGCATCTCTCTTTTTCTGTGATTTTACAGAAAAACAGGCAATCACAGTAAAAACGCCAGGGCTCATTCTACAGGACCAGGGCATTGCAGGAGAACGTATGAAGAAGACATTTATTATTTCTATACATGTTTTGGCTGCCACACTTCCATAACGTCCCTTTAAGTCTACTACTTCACTTTTTAAATGTAGACTATGATTTTCCAGGCTGACTAAAACAGTTAGGTTTAAATGTGAAAAGTTCTATAACTTCGACTCCACGGCATCTTTCAGAGTCAATCCAACAAGAAACGTTGGGTTCATCATTTATAGTTTTAACTTAATCATGTTTTATGATGTTTGAAGATGTTACCACAGAATGGTCCATGTGGAGTAGCTGAAGCAAAAGGTTTGCCAACAATTTCTCTTACTACCTCTAACTTTACATTTTTATTCAGTTCATACATCAAAACAAAGGATTTTCCGTCTTTCACCTGTCATTGCTACCTCTCTAGATTACACAGTGCACTCATCATTAGCTTCCAATGAATGTGAGTTCTGAATATTTCTACTGTAGGCACAGAAATTGTCATGTAGGGCAATTAGAATTTTTTTTGCTGCTGAAGGTTCAAAAATAGTTTTCATTACAACATTTATTGAATAAATGTTTGTTTTAGGTTTGATTTCTTGAAGGTGTTTCTGTTTCCTTCACTCTTATCCGGAAATGATACAAACAGGTGTGCAATCACCATGGTGACCCAAATGAATCACTGGCAGCAGCGCTAACATTTCCTTAGAATTTGGGTCCTTGTTACACTTCTCATGCATTTACAGAAACGTTGTGACGAGGTTTAAATTGTAACAAAAGTAAATCCCTGCGGAGGAGACAGGTGATGTGCGTTGAAATTCTGAGCAGCTGCAACATTCATATTTAGAAAATGTGCAGTTCTGATACTAGTTTTTCCCCTGAAACGCCTCTGAAAGCCTGTTCCTTTCTTCTCTTCACCTGGATCGTAAATGCAACGGTGAACCTCACAGGTAGTAACAACGTTTACTCAGGCTTCCATTTCTGCTCCCGTCTCTGTTGGTGTTCCTCCAGCTAAAAGCTCGGTGATACGTACGACCGCTGAGTCAGCCAATTATGGCGAGTCTTTCTGAAACCAGAACCCGCCAGCACCCTCGACTGAGCAGCGATTTGACAAACGGACAGGAGGGTGAGGTCACTGTGGAGAGTGCCGTACCTGACACAGCTGGCTCTCATCCGGCACAATTTGGGCTCCGTCTTTTCAAACCGTGTCTAAAAAGGAGGAGAGAAAAGAGAAGAGAGACAGAGGCAGGTCAGGAGATCTAACGAGATTTTTCAGAAGAAATATAGAAAAATACCTTTTAAGGGAGGGAAACATGGGTGTTATCCTAGAAGGCCCAAACTTAAGCTTAGTCTGTCAGGAAATAAAATCATAGATGCAAAAAGCATCCATCCATACACGCTTCCCTTCATGCGAACTGTAAAAACACCTCAGCTTAAAAGTATCTTGACGTGAGTTTTAAGTGCAATCACCCGACGGCTCATCAGTATGCTGCAGCCAGCGCTCCATCTCCTCTCTGAGGCAACAAACAAGCAGCGGGGGTGGGGTCTCTATCACTCTAGACCTACTTACGCCTGCAAAAGGTCAAATGAAATTCTGTTGTATCAAATTGGGTTTTTCACTTGATTAATAAGCGTCCATAGCTAAACACGACAATTCCAAGAGAGCTCGGATTTCCCTCGAGGATGGATCGGCTGATGTCTGCCGGGCTGCCACTGTCAGCTTGACTTTTAGCTGATATCTTTTGATATGGCCAAACCAGAGGCATGGGAGTAGATATTCTCCACTGGCACCCACCTCTGTTTCAGCTAAGGTCGTCACATTCTGAGAATATTTTACCACAGCTTACGCCAAAGCTTGGATCGTGGACTTTCATCCTATGTCGTGAGATCTTACATGATCTTCTGAAAATCTCCAGAAGACCCTGGTGGCCATGTTTATCCCTAAAATGAAGCAACTATGAACATCCAGCAAAGACTCTCAAGAGTTTGGCTAACACCCATCCTCATCAGATATTTTGCAGACAAAGTTGAGTCTAATTGTCATCAATAAAAGGAAAATATGGGAATACCTTAGAGGATTGGTGACGAGACACAAGAGTTTGAACCATGGACGTAATTTGGGGGGGGGGGGGGCACATGTCCCCCCCACTTTTTCAAAAGTCAAGTTTTGACCCCTGGACTTTTTACCATCCAAAAACAATATTACGCTATATTAAATTTACACTGGTTGAGCTCTAGGACCAAGCAGAAAACAACCGCTTGTGTTGAAGCCTGTTTCCCATTAGAACTCAATTCAATTCAATTTTATTTATAGAGCGCCAAATCACGACAAGAGTCGTCTCAAGGCACTTCACATAATAAAAATTCCAATTCAGGTCAGTTCATTAAGCCAATCAGAAATAACGTTTCCTATATAAGGAACCCAGCAAATTGCATCAAGACCATACAGCAATCCTCATACCAAGCAAGCATAAAGCGACAGTGGAGAGGAAAACTCCCTTTTAACAGGAAGAAACCTCCAGAGAATCCTGGCTCAGTATAAGAACATACTAAGAACATAATAAGAACATATTGTAAAGATCCCCCCCCCACACTTCTAAAGTGAAAATTACGTCTATGGTTTGAACTCATGGTAGTTCCAGGAGAATAAATTAAACTGCGAAGGAACGCCGTTGGGAAGTTTGGCACCTTCTCCATAATCAGGGCTAACTGGTTGTTTCTAGATCCAAGCCGGTGATTTTTGATGCAATTTTTTACTGCCAATTCAAAAAGTTTCCAGTTGTACTTAACTAATCAAATAGGTAGTAGCCTCCTGGTTGATAATTACGGCATGGCTGATCATATTTCAGCTGCAACAAGTTATTTAACCCAACTGGTGCAACGAGTTGCTTTTCATTTCTTAAACAACCGTGTGGAAAGACAAATCTAGTGGTTGTGGAAAAGATGTTAGTCTGTTTGAGAAGGGTCAGATCGTTGGCATCAAGCAGAGAAAACATCTAAGGAGATTGTAGATATGACTAAAACTGGGTTAGGAACGGTCCACATTATAAAAAACTAGTCTGACGAGTCCAGCTGGACCCTGTTCCAGAGTGATGGTGCATCAGGGTAAGAAGAGAGGCACCCATCATGCCTAGTCTCTGCTGTACAAGCCTGTGGGGGCAGCATTATGATCTGGGGTTGCTGCAGTTGGTCAGGTCTAGGCTGAGCAACAAGATGTGCTCCAAGAATGAGGTCGGCTGACTACCTGAATACACGCAATGACCAGGTTATGCCATCAATGGATTTGTTCTTCCCTGCATGTGGGCCATAGTTGCAAATTATCGCCAAACCTAATTTGGCCTTGAAGCATGGAGATGGAGTATTAAGATTAGTAACTTCATCAGAAACCTGATGATACCTCTAAATACCTTCATCACCATGTTCAGTCCTAAAGGTGTCTACTGCCTTCTGGTGGAGGATCAACAGGTGGAAAGAGCCTATTTTAATAGTTGGTTTTTTTAGACATATGTACTGCTATTATATGATAAAGTGGTTATTATATAGTTTTAACATTTTGTAATAGTGTCATTTTAAAAAAGTTGCTTTTTTAGGCATTACGGGTTTAAAACATTTGAAAATCCAACATATAGTACTGAATCACTGTGGTCGCTAAAATTAGCTCCTAGAATTTCCTGTTCCTACGTTCTAGAACTATTTGCTGTATTTAATCTGGATAAAAGCGGTAAAACATCACTGCAGAGCTAACCTAAGAAAAAAAAGACGGCAGCTAAGGCACCAAATTTCAACGCAGAACTCTCCTTTATCGACGAGCTCCTGTTCCCAAAATCCCCCAGTGGAGGGAAACCAGATGCAAAGAAATCCCTTTGACCACATTCCCAACCAGCCCTTCAATAAAAGCTAATTCTGACTTTTCTCCTGAATAATTACCTCACCGCTTTCCAGTGAAGGTTTTTTTCCCAGACAACTGGAAAAACGGGACATTTGGAATGCATTCCACCCCCCACCCCCACCCCCCCTTCCCCACATCCCATCCCAGCACTAATCAGCATAATATGAATTATTGCTATCATTAGAGGGTGGCTGGGAAATAACAGTAGGTCTTAATTATTCAACAAGGAGAAATAATAAAGAGAACACAAAAGCACCTTTAGTTTAAGCTGCCAGCGATCATTAGACGCTGTGTCTCTCCGTCCTGTGGGAGCTGAACTCGGATCGGAGTCTCTGTCGTCGGAATGGTTCTGAACACCATTACACACACACACACACACACACACACACACACACACACACACACACACACACACACACACACACACACATACACACACACACAAATCCTACCTGATTGTACCTTAGTGAGCAAATGATCATAGGAACCCAGTAAAAGTGTGATTTACAAATTAGAATATTTGCTGTGTAATTGTTGTTTCCGTGTGCCGTTAAAGCGAGTGGTGGGTGGGTGGGGGAGGGGTGGAGTGAACTTTCCCGTTCACGTCTCAATGGCGGTTTGGAAGTCAGTCGCACTATTAAATCTGCTTTATTTGTATGCGTTCTCTGAGTGAATTAGCTAGCGGTAATATAATTCAGAAGTCTATCTGCGTTAAAATGCGTGCCGCCGACAATTTCAGAGGTTATCTGCAGCTGATGAATACACAAAGGAAATGAAGCGTCATGAGAAAAGTAATTTATTTACTGCTTTCATGAGCTTGTTATCGGGATGAAGTCGGCTGCTGTGAACCAGTTTTGCATCGGCCATGTTTTACAAACAGGTTTATTCTTAGATATTAACACACTGGAGGAGGAAGTTTGACCAAACTGGGTTTAAATTGGCTTTCATGCCACAGTCGAACCACTTACGTTTGAGAGGACCAAAACTCAACCAGTCATTGTACACAGTCCATCTGAGGTTTGCGGTTGTTCCAAAAAATGATAATCTATTTAAGCACAGCGCACAATGGCATGGTGGCGATACAGATTATGTCTCTTACTGGTCCGATTGTCCTCTATTGAGAACCTTCAGATAAATAGATTTGGATAGTTAATTTTTTGTTTTTACAAAACTGCAACAATTACTATTTTTAGTTTCCAGGCAACAATTCTCAAAACAACTGTAATGAATTTCCCTGTAAAAGGGCCTCGGACAACCTCCAAACCTGTTATTGGCTACATTCATGCATTTTCCTGTATGAGCTGCAAATCTAGAATGCCTACCTTTTCTCCGAAAGGTTAAAACTAGCATGATATAGAACTGTTAACCTCACTGGCGTTGTGAATTTAGAGATGTGTTACCATTTTTCTCAAGCTGGTCAAGTAAAAAACACTAACCTAACCTTTCTATTGGTTTCAGTCAAAGACCAGCAGAATGACATTTTTATTGCATTTTAGAAAACTTTTAAAGGTTTATTAAAATTATCCGCAGGGTGTCTGGGCTTTCCCTTAGAGATAGGGTGAGAAGCTTGGTAATCCGGGAGGGGCTCGGACTAAATTTGCTGCTCTTCCACATCGAGAGAAGCCAGTTGAGGTGGCTCAGGCATCTAGTTAGGACGCCTCCCTGATGAGGTTTTCTGGGCACGTCCAATCAGAAGAAGACCTAAAGGAAAACCCAGGAGACTCTGGAGGGATTACATCTCTCGGCTGGTCAGGGAACACCTTGGGATTCCCCTGGAAGAGCTGGCCCAAGTGGCTGGGGAGAGGGAAGTCTGGGCCTCTCAGCTTGGGCTGTTGTCCCTGCAACCCCACCCCAGATAAGTAGCCAAAAATGGATAGATGGTCGATTTGCACATTTAAATTAGGAGAAATGATTTGTCAAAAAAAGAGACAATGAAGCATTTGTCGTATAAATGTATATTAAGATTCTTGTAGCAGCAACATGGATGAGTTATGCGAGATGAGGTTTTCTATGAAGCTAATGTAAATTTAAACTTTTCCAGTTTAGTTCAAACTGAAATGTCCAATCTCTTTCATCGTCAACCACGACGTCAGACTTTTTAGCAGAAGTGTGGACTCGAGTCACATGACTTGGACTCGAGTCAGACTTGAATCATTATTTTAATGACTTCTGACTTGACTTGATGCAATCTATAAAGCCTTACGACTTGACTCGGACTTGAACACCAATGACTTGCGACTTGAATCGACTTGCATCTGTTGACTTGATGACTTGAGCATATTTGATATTTTAGCACAAAAGTGGCACGGCATGGACAACA